AGGTTCCTGCAGCTGTACCTGCTTGTGTTTCTATGCCAGCTAAACCTGATGTACTTGATGCAACACTTCCATTCATAACTCTGTTAACTCCTGCTACAGAGGGATTGTGTTTCCAAAAACCCCACTGTTTTACAATTGCAGTGCAGGATAGAGAGGCATCTGTTTCCATGCAGGGCTCCTTTCATATGATTTTATTATAATCCTTAAATTCTCAGTGTTTCTTAATGCAGGCCAAATCAAAGCTTCTGAGTTCTACCTAGGCTGACTCCCAGTACCTGCAGAAAGAGGTCTTTATGCCACACAGCACCTTTTCTTCCACTTCATGCTTCATATGGTGAACTTCCTCTTTTCCATGGAGCTCCACTTGTAACTTGTGATGTCAAAGAATCCTAAATCACCTTTTGCCTCAGTGAAACTCTATCGTGACTGGTTATACTCAAACTTGGTTTAAATAACTGTAAAGGACAGACCTTCAAGGTTCCTTTCTTCTTACTATTGTCTTTGAACTTTTTATTGTTTGTGCTTGGAGGAACCTTCTGGTCAACAGGAGAGTGAATTTCTGCTGCATTTTTTGCATATATCTTATTTATTACAGAATACTGCTTTCTTACACAGGGGAAAAAAAAAAACCAAACCCCAAAACCCAAATGCCCAAAATATGACCAAATGCTCTGGCTCTGAAAGCAATTACTGCTGCAATTCTTTAAGACAAAAAGGAAAGTTAAAATGAATGTAACCACATAAAACTACCAGCAAGCTGACCCTAAGGTAGAAGTTCTAAAAAATGTTGTCATTCTTCATTTTAGCAGAGGTCTGGTAATCATTCTAAGTTTGAACTGCACCTACCCATTGAGCACTCTTAAAAGGGGGAAAAAACCACCTAGCTAGCTAGAGCAATCGGTTTCAAAATCCTTCCCTATCCGCAAACACATAAATTGTGAATGATGGGTAAAATTCAGTACTTAAAACCATTTCTAATTCAAGCCAAAGGTGTGCCAGATCTTACTCTAAAACCAAGGAGTTCCTATGCCCAAGGGACATCGCTGAACTGCGGAGGTAGCATGCTGACTTCACGTGACAATTGTACATCCCCCAGCACCTCTACCAGGTCAGTTGGTCAGTCACACACAGAAGCTAGTAATATAAATAGTCTTACAACTCCTGAAGGGCCCAAAAGTACAACTGGAGTCAAGTTGGAGAAACTGTCCACACTAATCCAGCAAATCCACAGCTCCTGAGCTCTTTCAAACACTTCTCCCACCAAACACGTATTCGTAACAGTCCTTCTCCCCTCCACTGCACCCACTCTCAAGCCCAGTAATCTCAAAAGCCTCCTTTCTGCAGTCTGCAAAAACAAGCAAGAAAGCAAAAGAACAGAAGGAAACCAGAACTTGTTTCAACACTGCAGTTCTCCTCCCCCAAAGCACATGATTCTCATCTCCATGCTAGTTACATTTGTGTATTAAAGTTTCTTGTTAAGTCATCAATCCACTGCAACATGATCCGCTTCCACCCTTTTCCTGTACTTTCTGACAACTCCTTCCCTTTACACCATAACCCAGTTATAGCACAAAAGGAGCCTGTAAAAGCCAGTCACCAGTGCTGGCACATGGCTGCAGCGCTTGGAGCACGAGTACCCTTGCTGCATTTCTGCCGCATGCACAGTCAGCAACCAAGACAGCAAGAGACAGTCAAGTTCATGTACTTTTCAAGAGCCCTCAAGAATACAGGAAGCAAGATGTGCTGAGCTCCAAGATAGTACTGGAAGTATCTATGACCAAGGCACAGAACACTAAGCACGAAAGAATTATTTACTGGACAAAAAAACCCCACATAAATTCTTCAGTTAAGTGGCAGAAATTGGAGGATGTCCACTTCTGCTGTGACTAACAGCAGTCAGCATTCAGTTACAGAGGTCAAACAACTGAAGCTCTTTCAAAATGCTTCTGGACACAGTACTTCAGGTTTGGGTTAGTTTTCCTGGCTTAACTGATTGGAAGTCCGAATTAGAGGTATCAGGTGTGAACCCACTGAGATAGAAGTGGCTGGAGAGTATTTAGATTAGCACCATTTTTCTCACCCCAAAGTGTGCAGTCTTCCTGAGCTTTAGGACCAGGGTCACTCTGAGCTTACAGTTTACCCTGCAGTTAGGTCCCTACCCAGCAGAATTCTAAAGCTTTTACATTTCATAGCTTGCACTCTGGTTTACAGCACCTTTACAAAGAAAACTGTTCGTGTAGATTTCAGAAGAGATCTCAAAGTAAGAACCATGGTTCAAATCACCCCGAACAAGAGGGGAATTGCTAGTAACTCCAATTGTTCCCACCAGCTCAGGTCCGCTGAAGAGGATATGCAAGCAGAAACGCTTCCAGACAGGACTTACAGCCTCCTCTCGTGCCTCCACTCTCAACCAGATGTCAAACAACTTCAGAAAATCTGGAAGTTTTGCAGTAGTGCTTTAGCAGTAGCACAAGAAATTCTCTTCTCGCAGGAATTCGTCATTTCATCACTGTGAAGGCTGACTGCTTGTATGCACTGCTCTGCTGTGTTGTTAAAGTCATGCTGGGAGCTGGTCATTCCTCAGCTCATATTTCCTACCAAAGCATATTTGGGTGACAGCATTCGATGGTTGAAACTGGTCAGCCCAATTAGAAGTTATTAATGGGCAATCTACATACTTTCTTCCCCAACTAGATGGCTATTTTAAGGAGAAACACCAAGAACTCCCAACCAAAACCCTCTGCAGCAGGCTAAGTAACACTGAAAACATTCCAATATGCAAACCAGGGAAAGGCACAAAGGAAGGAAAAGAGCAGCCGTGACTATGAATTTATGGAAGCAGTTACAGAAGTTCAGTGTGATAGCAACAAGAAAAATCACAAAAACAACTTAAAATTACTTTATTTTAAGTATATTAGCACAATATTTACAAAATTGTTTCATAATTCATAAATAAAAACATTTTCTTGGGTAAAGACTATAGATCTATAGATATTTAAAATGTCTATATATTTATATATACACATATACGTACACCCACAAATGGAAGCATACAATTATGAACAACTTTGGTCTGAAATTACTGGTGGGAAAAGGCTGGGTGTTATCAGTGACTTTTTAAATTCTCACTTGTATATTTGTACCCACATGAAATCCAGAGCAGACACCTTACCAACAGGATGGTGGGTTTCTCCCACCTCTGGGGCAATTGCTCCGGCAGCCTGTACACAGCCACCAAGCTTCTGTTTCAGTAACATCTAGTAACAGCTCGGCCTCATCCCACCATGACACAAACAGGTTCTACTGCAGTCTGCTTTACAGAAGTTAACATAAAGCTATTATACATAATGGTTTTTATAAGGCAGAGTACCACAATGTAATTCCAGTTGGTTTGTTTTTTATTCCTTAACTGCTCAACTTGCCAAAGGAGATCACTAGTTATAAACAGGGAGCTCTGCATGGTACTTCATCAGGTAAGTTCTTATTCTGAATTTTTAATGGAGAGTAATCTCCCTTCTGTAGGTAAAGATTGCTGTGATTATGGAAAAGTCTGTATCAAGACTCATACATAGGAGCTCAAGTCTTGTATGAATACTCCCACTGACAAACTTGAAGGTATGAAAGCAAGTGTAAACCACACACGCTTCTTAACTTTTTACCACATGAATAACCCTCTTTGCTGTGGCCAGTTCCACTGATTTTAGTGAGGGCTGGACCATAGGCTGCTTTAAGCTGTTCAATCCTGCAGCCCTAGCAAGAGGACTGTTTATGAGAGTCAGTGTTGTAAAATCAGATACCTCAATTTTATTTCGTTGAATTCTTGATGCAAGGTGTCTGCATCCAGACTTGGAGCTCAATATGCAGAGACCAGAATCTCTGCAAAGTGCACCCACAGTATGGATATGAACCTTAGTTCGTAACATCCAACTCTGAGACGTGCCAAATTACTCAGAATCTTTAAAGACATGGATTTTTTTTTTTACATTACTGTTTGGTAACAGCTTTCCAAAGTTTTAAATTGTTAGGAGGAGAAAACCATGTGTGCCTTTGAAAGGTACTACCTTAGTACAAAAAGGAGACAGCGTCAAGATTTCTACAAAGTATACATGAAGCCCAAGAGAAGCCAACTGCATTGGAACAACTCCCAAAACAGTTATAAAATGTGGTAAAATCTCATGGAATGTGCAAGTCCTAGAAAAAACGATTTTTAACTGTACCACTTACATATATACAGAAACTGAGCCTCCTCGCTTCTCATCAGCTCCTCCTACTTACTTTCTATTTTATCTATTTGTGATGCAATGGCAGCATCACAAACTTGGGTCAGAAATGAAATAGCTCCTGGTTTCCAAAACAAGATTTTAAAACTCTGTCAAATATACACTAAATAGGACAACTCCTATTTTTATGAAGCATCCATGACTTTTACAAATTCACTGAGTTAAGAAAGCCTGAAGTTGCTTCCAGTACCACACACCACACAACATGAACATACACAAGAACCACATTCAGCATGAAAATTACTAGCTGCTGTGCTCCATAATTCCAGTGCTGAATTAGGCTCCAACAGCTGAGCAGTTTCTCATCAAGAATACAGAAGAGGCACAGAGAACTCTCTCACTGGACTAAAATATTGGCCACCAGAGCACACAATGACTACTGTCCATAGAGAGGAACACTACTGTTTCGTGGAATTAGGAGAACTCAGTTAATAACTTAAGAAGAGCTGGGAGTAAACTTCATACTTATGCAACTTTGTGTATAAGCATTTTATTTTTTTTTATAAAAATTTTGCTGAACGTCAGAAAAGATGTATTTGTACAGTCTTGACTTCCTGCTTGTATCACAGACATATGACCATACCTTGCCCATGCACACAAATAAAGAAAACAATAGTCTAAATGGTATTGCAATCTGTGGGCCAAGCAGGCCCATTATCAAAGCAGTGATTAATGATAGTTTTTGAAAATAATACCACTAAGGATTACTGCAGGGAGACCCTGTAGTGGGCAAACAGTGCTTTTCATATGCTCACCCTCAAACATCCCACATATACCATAATAAAAGAAATAAAGATCACATGTGGGCAAACACACATTCCTTGCTACAGCTGCTGTGACTATAAAATTACCTCATTTATATCAAAAGCACTTTTGCCACACATGCAAAACAACTAGTTTCCTGAATTTCTTCTTGTTGAGTAGTGCATCTTCAAGGCCACGGTGTATCAACAACGGTGTACGTTTCACATATCACATTGCTCTGCAGATCTGTGAATTTAAAAAAAAAAAATAAATAAATAAAAGAAAGAAAAAAGAAAAGAGTGTTTGGGAAGAGCAGCAACATTTTGTGCTGCCTACCCAAGTTACAGCTTAAAAAATAACTTCTTGTTGGTTCGAACCTTGAAAGCACACTCAGCACTAACGTTGAGTGGTACGAACAGCAAACGATGTTTCAGCCTCTCTACAACAGAAAAGTAGACACTGTGCTGGAGCTCTGAACTGGAATCAGCTGTAGCAGCTCCCAGATTTAGCTGTCTGACCCATCCTGTCCTTACTCCTAACACTGGTTTACTTTCACATGCTATTTTGTAAGTTAGTGTGCTTCAGCATCTGACCCATCTGCCCCCTCAGTGTGTGTGAACTTTCAAGGGAAGGTTACGAAAGTGGATAGAGCTCAAAAGGTTCTTGCCTCCAGCTTGCAAGTCAGAGCCCTTGCCTTTGATCTGCAAAACCTTCTGTTATTTTTAGAAGCGATCTTTCAGGATAGAAAAAGCAGACTTCTAACCCTACCCTAAAAGTCAAAATGAAACAGATAATTAGTTATTCCTGTGCTTGTGGAAGCTGCACCTCAGCACTAGAACAGGTGGTACGTTGTTATAGGACTAAATGAGATCTAAGAAGAAACAGTCAACTTCTTTAAAATCGGACCTCCAAGCAAAACTCTGCCTTGTCCTTCAGCATGTCCTAACTGTTCGGATCCCATCCTTATCTCCCTTCTGGTCAGTTTTGAGTGCAATACACTGGCAAATATCTGTTTGTTTCCTGATCCCAAGCCACTGCCTTGAAAAACAAGCAGGACCTACCTTCCACTCCTCATTACACTAACATTTTATCAACACATTTAGGAGAAACCAATACAGCTGTTCTTTGTACTGCAAAAGTGCTTGTATTCCTAGTGGTTTAGAAAATAATCCAATGGTTGGAAGAATCATGTAAAAACATAAACACATGGTATTTGTGAGGAAGCCTGTTTTTAAAAATCAACTAATATACCTTTTCCCAATTAGGTCTAACTAGTACCTCATTTATTGTCACACTGTTAATTCATGCCTTCCAGAAGTGGCATGGTACAAAAATATTTCAAGTAAATTAACAGATTTAGAGTGACTTTACTCCTGACTAGCAAAACATCCTAACTTGACACGGGAGTACTATGCCAAGAGTCTAGTGATACCTCATGACAAGCTTGCTTAGTTTTCAGGAAGAAACCTAAGTACCAACGGCATCAACAAGTGCTCTTTTATCCTACTCCCATGAAAAGGAAATACAAATTCTGAACAGAAAAGGATCAATAAACTTTTAATTTTTAAACCTGAGCATCTAACCTAAAATTTAAGATCTTTAGTGAGAGCAATCTGGCCAGGCAAATTCTGTTACTCTTTGATGGATATGAGCTGCAGGAACCTAGAATCTTTGCAAACTTGGCTACCTAATTTACATAGCAATTTGGGGCCAAGGTAACACAGTCCATCTCATTTCATGGAGCATTATAAATTAGGAGTCTACATGTGGTAGATGTTGCAATCTTACAGGCCATTATAAAAATCAAAAAGGCCTAATCCCAGCATTAAGGACAGTTCAAATCAGAAGAAATCTTATGGTAGGCAAGGACACTGAAATACATCTTTGTTTACAATATTTGGTAGATCTTTAAACATACAGAATATCCAATGGGCAGAAGTCACAGTGTACCATTAGAAGATCAGAATTCAGGTTTGTCAAAAAGAAGTTGAAGTTATTTAAGCTGTTCTTAAATTTTATTAAGATGTGTTTCAGTTCTGTTTGCTTTTAAACGCTACTATCTGACCCTAAAACAAATAATAAAACTGAGTGAAATCTACTGCAATACAAACAATCTAACAAAACCCAGAAAATGTAAATAACATCTAAGTGTGTGTGTGTGTAGAGAAAGTCTACTTTCCTGTGAACTTCCATGGGAAATCACCAATTAAATACATAGAGAAGGCTTAGTTATATTAACATCAAAGACCACCACCAAAACAAAAACCAAACACAACAATCCACCACCAAGGAAACGGTCCATCCATCTTAAAAACTATATAAGCATAAAGGAAGCATACAAACTGTTTGAATTCCCTCATTTGATCAGAGACATACTATTTAATATTTCTGACTCATCCTCTTCACTGCTTAGAAATACACATTCTTCCCCTATGTATGATACAGAAAATATGTATTCTTTTTTCTCAATGAAATATAATCTGAATAGAAACAGCACCTGCACTGAAACCTGTCCTTCAAATTCTATCATATTAGTACAAACATCAAAATCCCCAAACACATGTTAATTAAAACAAGTATCTGGAGATATACTTGGACTTACCATCATTCTAACATCACTCCTTTTGCATCTTTAAAAGCCAAGCAAATGGATTAGTAATGAGCAAAACAGCAAGAAATGCTTCATAATTAATATTCAGATTAATTATAAAATTCAGGTTAGCACTTGCTACTACTCAGCATGCCAATTAGTGAACAGAATAGCAAAAAAAAAAAGATTTAAATAAAATTCAGAGTCAGCCCTTTCTCAATATTTTCCCCAATCTTAAGCACTATCAGAGTTTCCCAACACCATGTTGGAGTTTCCCCAACCCAAAGAAATACAGAAAGAACAGAGCGACAAGGATAGATTTTGCTATGATCCTAAGTATTCCACCAAGATAAATGCTTATGAAGAAGAATTAACATCAACTTTCAAGACCTGTGCCTCTTTTCCACTCAGAAGTTGAACTTTTTGCAAAGCAAAACGGATGGACATAATATCCTGGTATTAGATTTGGCCTAATGCAGTCAAATAATGCCACTGGCTAACAAGCACAGTAGCGTTAGAACAGGGAGTCTGGAGCTGCAGGCATAATTTTATCAAGAGATTAAACTCTTACTGACACATAGAAGCACAGTAGTTGACATACCAATCTGCCATCTCAGTGCTGTTGTATTGAGAGCTACAATTATTTTTTGACTTTTTTCCATAATTAATCCCTTAATTAGAAGATAAGCCTTGAATATCACCTACCATTTAGTGGTTCTTCTACAGCTTTCTGCAAAACATTTAAAAATATATATATGTATAAAAAGCCTTCATGTTTACTTCTGGCTCGCCACAGTTAAATTACTCTAATTGACATATACAGTAAGTAGTGATTCTATGAAAATGAAGAAAGCTGGACGTTAATAAAATTCACAACTAGGGTTCTGAAAAACATTACATTAACCAGTAACTGCATTCTCCAGGTTATTTTTTTCCCCAGAATGTATTTTATCTCCGATGAAATACCTGTAGGTGGCAGCAAAACGCATGCAGATACTACTTTCAAGCTCTAACACCTGATTTTTTTTTGTGATTTGATCGAAGGTTAGTAATAAAGCAGCATGACTGAAAAAAGACAGTAGCCATGCAATCAAGTGAGTGTGTTTCAAAAGTATTTCTCAAAAGGAAATACACCGCAGTTGTGTGTTTAGTCTGGTAGACAACCATCAGGAACAACACATGCAATCTACATAAATGTTAAGGATTAAAAAACATTAGTAACCCGTTAAGATGGCAGATTTCAAAATAGGCACCTTTTCCCCTCTCAGACTGAAGAAAATGTAAAGCAGTGTTTCGTAAGTGTGCCCCAGTGTCAAAATGAAGCACTTCAGTGTTGTTAAGTTTTCCAGAGTCTTTAGATTACACAGAATCAAAGTATGTTTTCAAAATAACTTCACACCTATTTGCTGCCTCAAAGTACAGCAATAGATGCTGAACAGCCCTTGATGGAAACGAGCCACATGTTAAAACACCTCACTTTTTTACTAGGTCCCCATAACTTCCAGAAGTTCATGGGCACAAATTATTGTCACCTGAATTCCTCTGTATGTGACCCTCCAACTAACTGCTATTTTCAGTGGCTGAGATTTCCAATTACCACTAAGCTTTAAAAATTTCTTTTGACCTAATTCTTGTCTCCAATTCAGAGAGTAACATGGTGGTCACTACTATGTAAGTTGTGGCTATTTCTTTATTTGTGAAATCCTTGCTGCAGAGTAAAGAGAAGAGCTCATGAAGAGAACAGAGTTCCATGATGTTTCTATTTCAAAGCTTATTTATAACCAAAAATTAAGTTTAAAAAGAGAAATAAATCTCCTCTTGCCCTGTTTGCTTCCATTCTCAAGTAAACATAAGTATGTCATACAAAGGCAAGATTGTGTTTTGAAAGAAGTGTATCTGTAATACACTTCTTGACTCATTTTTATAACAATTAAATTTGTGAACCTTTTTTTGTTCCCCCTCCGTGCTCTTAGATTCCTTTCACAAGTAAGAGACCAATCATCTGAAATACTGTTCCTTAAAATCAGAATAATGAGGAAAAAGCAAAGGAGAAAAAATAACAAATCTCTGCTGTCCTATCTGCAGGCAGCTCTCCTGCCCCATGGTTAGAAAACATCTTTCTTCAACAGCTGAGTCTCAGGCTATAGACTGAAGAAGAGACCTGGAAATGTGCCTCAAATGATGGCTGCCAGCCAAGAAATGGAGTGACAGTATTTGTCATGCTCCCCTGCTACAAGGAAATTTTACTGGTATTTTGCAGTTGTGCCTCTTTACTTGCTTCTGCAAACTCCAGAAATCGGGCAGTTCACACCCACAGATCACCAGGAAGCACTGCGTAAGTCTGTGAAAATTACTGCTTTAGGAATGATCCCTCTAGAATTAAAAAAACCTGACTGAACAGCCTTCTTTAAAAAAAAAAAAAAAAAACAAAACAACAAAGTGCTTTTCCATTTGTTCTGTGTTACCTAAAGACAGACATTCTGCTTTCAGATGGGCTTAATAAATTAAGCGGCATTACAGGAAAATAAGTAAAGACAAAAAGATCAAGACTACCAGCATCAATATAGCTGGGAATTCAATATTAAGTAATATTGAATTAAAGAATATTAAAGTGTTCTGGTGTAAAAGACCATAGGAAAACAAAAAACCAAACCTAAGTCCTTGTTATAGGCCACCCAGACGAAAAAATTTAATGGTATTTTGCACTCAGCTTAATGAAAAGCATTTTCATTAAGGTGAGCAGAAGGTCTTTATAAATCCATGTGAAAGTGCATTGTAAAAGAACACCAAACTTCCCTTCACATCCACCACCTTTTCGTGATAGCCCCTGAAACTCAATTTGGGCACAACAGTCAGAGTAGCCGTTAGGTAAGGGTGGCAATTACAGTACTATAGACACACTCAATAGGGACAATGAAGACCACCAACTCACTCCACATTAGACATCTGTTACACAGCCAGAACTTTTGCTTGCTACCAACCTGGTCTGAATTCGAACTAGTGAAGAAAGGTTCAGTATCTCACTACAATCCCCTGAGCCATCTAGTCACCCCAAATTTATTAATTTTAAGCTTACCCCTGGACGAGGATGATCTTTCATTCTGGAACCTAAAATAATTACAAAAAAATGACCAGGCAAATGAATAAATGTCATTATCAACCAAATAACGATATCTGATTGAGAAGCAACATACAAAAATCGAAGCTCCTGTTATTCAAAACTACATAATGTGAGGATCTGCAAATTCTTAAAGCCTCTAAGCACTCCTCTGTTTAGGAACTAAATAATCTCATCACATACAGCCTGTGAATTGTCTCACTCATCCATTCAGCTATAAAAATGAATTATGCTACACACTATTCTCTGTGATTACTTTGGTGTGCTGGAATCCACCCCAATAGTCACATTTGACTTCTTCAGCCAGCATAATCAAACTACAAATGCAATATTTATGCAGAACATTAGCACAAAGTTGTATAGATGAGTAGCCCGAAGCCAGTAAGTTACTTTTATCGTTGTAAAAAGGTTTGCTTCACGTCTGCCACATTTTTGACTCATCTTCATCTCTCTCAGACATCAAATACGAGGCACTCTGCCTTAATTTCTTCTTTAATAGAAATCCTCCTTGTCTATTATTTCTGACCATGCCCACACATGGTGTGCACATACTAAACCTGGAAGACTTCACAGTTCAGTGCAGACTACAGACAGGACTGACTTCATACACATCAGCTGGAGTGTGGAAGCAATGTAACCTTAACTACACGGTTCTGTATACAATCTAACAAGCTGTTTGAAGAGCCTTCAATGCCCAGCTTGAAACAAAGAGTCTCCCTGCTCTCAGACCCCAGCTGTAAAGTCCACATAATATTACACTGTGGTGTGCCACCACTCCAATCACACAGCACTACCATGGCTTTTGCTTACTTAGCAGGCGTGACTGGCTTTTTTACCTTTAAATTGCTCATCTTTTTGTGATCTGGTGAACAGACCAGTTCCTGAAACAAAGTATTGCTATACTTTGCTCCTGGCTTTTAAAATTAAATGCAAGAAAAAAAAAAGGATTCACTAAAATGAAAGGTGTGCATTCACATCATTCTTATTTTGACCTGCCCCTAAGCAGTGGAAATCACTAGGCAGATTTTGCTTCTTTAAATTTGCATTTTGATAAGCCTTTGTCTGCACCACCCCATAACCCACTCTACAGAACTCTTGAAATCCATTTGCTCTCTCCCTTCTAAGCTTCAGCTAGCCGGCTGTGTAACTGCAGAGATTAAACAGCAACATCCATCCTTCAGATGAAACTGAAGGATGAAGAAACCTGTATGTGTTGATCTCAAACCAGTTTATTATGATAAGCTGTAAATTTCTTTACTCAAGATCCCCCACACACTCTGTGAAACAAAGCCAATATATACAGGCAACTTTTCAGTAATTTTTTGAACTATGTAACTGTGAAATTGCACCTTATGTTCAAATAAACTGTGTCTACTTCTTGAAAAGTAAAACAGAAAAAATTGCTCTTCTGAATACTTAAATACTAAAAACCAAATAAAATATGCAGAATATTAGGTGCTACTTACCCATAATAAACACGTAAGCCAGACTAAGCAAATTTGCAATGGCCATAATAGCTAAGCCAGCAATCACAACAGACCCGTGTAATGGAGGACAGGCTGTTAAAAACAGGGTAGAATAAACTATCATCTGACACAATTAAAGCACAAACTTTTATTTTCATATATAACTAATATTAAAATAAATACACCTGATAAAACCAGACATGATTAATTGCTCTCTCAAAGCTATCCCAGAACTATTTCCCCATCTTCCTTTTTCTGTACACATTCTTTAACAATACAGAGGCATTCACTGATTGATCCTGCTAAGATGTACCCTTCTACTACAGTTTAGCTATTCTAGTGCCACTCACTGCAATTGACACATTCTTGTGTTAATTTTAATTTAAAGTCACATCTTCAATCCCAATTATTTTGAAGTATAACTACATTTTATTACAGAATACAATACTGTTACTAATTAAACAGAACTAAAAAAGGGAAGGGACCAGATCATGAGTTCTGAGGCAAGTCCACCACAGGTAACAGGAATGCTCCATGTTTACACAGATAGCACAGAACAGTAACAGGCTATTCAAACTAACCCTAGTTCTCCACAGAAACTCATCATCCTCTGATCCTTGTTTCCAGGGGCTTGAAGTCATCTCAACTATCTGTGAGCTCAACCTAAGATGAGCTATTTCTACTGACACATAAGGGTCAGTGAGCCTAATTTCCAGAAATACAGGTACCATCTACCTTGTATGACCTCTGAAAAGGTCACCCTGAAAAACCAGGAAGACTTTCCACTTGAGAGCATAAGAAAAACATTTCCCATTTTACATGACTCTAGGGCTTTACCAGAAATCTCCCATATGCTTAGTAACTACTGTATTTGACAACACTTGAATGCCCCTTACAAATACTTTTGTAAATACTAAACAATAAGCATAAAATTCAAATCACAACCCCACTGAAATTTCACCCAGAATAGACAAACCTTTAGAAAACACTTCAAGGAGAAAAAGTTTTTAATAAGTACCCCACCAAATCAATGGCTAAAATGGAGAATGTCTCTATGAAACAATATCAGGGGTTTAAAGTGCTTCCAATGAGCATGAGTATGTATTCTACTACTAAATATACTGCCAAGGATGCCTAGTCCTAAATTCACCCTTTTCTCTGCTGTGGGATTTTCTGGTGGGCAGAGGGGAAGGCAGGCAGGGGACAAAGGAAGGGTCAGAAGCAGGGATAAGGGGTATCACTGTATGTGGCGTTTAGTTGGTGTTCCTTCAAAACAGTGACTGGTTTTCAGTGCCGAAACAGAATGCCAGCCACAAACAGTCTTACAACAGTCCCAAAAATGCTTCCAAGTTTACTGCTTCTGCATTTGCCTCCTCAGGCTGTTTCAATGGCATTAGTTCCCTAGCAACTCAGTTATCAGTCACATACAAGCAGAGATTAGCACGGAATTTCTGATTTGTTCATTGAACATGAGAAAATTGTTATACTAGTTTAGTTTCTAAGTACCCCAGGCCTCAGTAAGAATAACACTCATAAAGCTTAATGGTGGTTCAGGTGACTCTTCAGGGAACTAACCGTTGCAAAATTAATTAACTTTTCTTTTTTAAAGCAACTGCTCATAAAATGCAGTCATGATGGATGTGGTCTTACTAATGAAACTGATACATGTGATACTACCTTTGGGCTATTCTTCTTTCACCAGATAAAAGAGCACAGTAAACCTAAAGTACATTTACAGAAGTTACTTGCTAACACTCAATGTAGTGAAGCCATTTTCACAGCATTTTAGTGTTACGCATAAAGAAACATCAGGTATAGATACAAGTAAAAAGACACTTTTACAGAACATAGATTTCTTACCTGAGACACACAGTGCAAAACCAACCACAGCAATTACATAACCAAGAATGTGCAAGCCTATCAGAGCAAATGTTGCTTGTGGTAGATTATCAAAAACTGGGAAAGACAAAGAGAAACAGAATTTCAATTTTTAAAGTTTAACTACACAGACACAAAAGGTAGGTCATCTATAGAAAGCTAGCAAACAGGTTCTCCTGAATTCCAAGCTCAGCCAGCCAGTGTGATAACAAAACTTACAAGTCCCTGCAAGTCACTTGGGGCTCTTGGATGTATACACAGACGCATAAACATTAATGTATATATAAATTTATAAACAAACCACAAGTAGAAAAAATGAAATGCATACAAACAAGTTAATTATTCATCCCAGTCCCAAGACCCAGGAAGGAAGAGCAGGAATCGCTCAGATGTCCCACCCCAAATCTCATTTTTCAAGAAGGTAACTTATACTTCTTCCCTGAAGGATCTTTGCCAAATAAATACAGGTTAAACATGTTGGTTTGAGATAGTAGGAAGGTCAAGAATCCAGGATGCTATTGTAGCATCTATTTATAAAAATGAAAGTAGCGTGTAGATCATGGGGGACGGGGGGGTGGGGGGAAGGAACTCAGTTTTATTATCAGTATGTTTTTGAGCTACTGAATAAATAAATGCTCACCAATTCCAAACATAACATATTGAAGCGGTACCAAAATCACAGCAGGGACTACAATCAGGCCAAGGCCAGCTTGATTCTGTGCAGTATAGCCATCTGCAAACATTTGTATGGAAATTAGTAAAACAAAAATATTTGACTGGAATAAAGCACAAAGCAACAAAAGTAAATCATCAGTACTGAGTTTTCAGGGTGCAGGAAAAAGAAAATCTCACTGAAGCACAAGGAGTCCCCCCCCTAGCCTCTAATATTCACCCAAAGTAGCAGGACAGAAAATAGAGATAAATTTGGTGTCTGTATCTCCCTATGATTATCTGAGGGCCTGACAACCACAATGCTGGTTCTCTTGTGTTCTATAATTATTATTTTTTTTCAGTTTAAAATTAGTAGATAGCAAGTAAGAAGTGGCACTAACTTCCATACTACTGCATGGAAGAGATGCACTGGTGCTCTTATTCCCTTAAACTAGGAAGGCAATTTTAATACACTTACCTTGGACAAAAAGAACAGTGCCTACAACAGCAGCAACTATGAAGATGATAACTGCAACAATAATGCCTGTCTTCTTCTGAGATACTGTTTCATATTTTAAAACTTAAAGACAAAACAGAGACAGAGAAGAAAACAATCAGACATGGATAATTCTCTCACTAAAATACACAGATTTTATGATTAGGACTGTTATCCTAAACAAAAAAAAAAAAGTCCTAAAAAAATCAGAACTATACGTATTACCAGTATTTCATTTGTTGTCTTTGTTTGATACGGTTAATACGGCTTATTCAGATAAATGAAACCTGACACTGGAGTTCTAGTAAAATTCTTCTTCCAACTTTCCATAAAATTCAGATGGTAAGTTACCAAAGTAACTCTGGGACATAGCACAGGTTAATTCAGGTAGATGCACTACTGACAAATAATATTACAGTGAATTTGTTACGCAGGTAAGTGTCAGACAGGGACTTAGAAATTACAGGTTTAACTCTCTTCCCTGTAACACTGTGTGAACTCAGATGTATCACCTCTGTCCCCAAGGGAACAGGATTCCGATCTCACCAGAATACTTTGAAGATGAGTAGGTATAGGATGACCTACATGTTCAGGTGTCGTAGACAAGACTAATTTTCAGTAAAACTGCACTGCTAAATAGCAGCCATCTCAGAAATGATTGATTCCAGTGGAGGGTTTCAAAGCAGCAGCACTTTAGTAGTCTTCAGAAAAGAAGGAACAGTACAAATACATCATCATAATAAACCGTATTTGTTTCTGACTTATACACTGCTAAAATTAAGACAAAAAAGGCAGCTCTTGCTCAAAGCTTGAAAATTAATATACCAACAACTTGGTACACGTTGAAATTGGTAATCACAAACAGAAAACAAATACTCTAGGCAATTTCAAAAAGAAAAGCATGGAGCACGTCCAGAATTAACATCCCACTTACATGCAGTGGCATTTTAAAAATATGTATTAGTTTTCAACCTCTGACCACGGATGGACCTTTGAAGAGTCACACAACACTTTCAGATGTTCATGAAAAGGGAATAAAGGAAATTATATACAGATGGCTGAATATGTATGTGATCACTATAAATCACACTGTGTGCAACTTCTTTCCATTTCTCAGGGACTCAGCTCTCAGCAGAATTTATTTATTTTTTAGAAGTCTACAAACTGAAAAAGGCTGAAAAAAAAATAAAAATCAGAGACTGATGTAACAAATTGCACCACAGGGAACCATCTGAAAAACTAGGACATAAAGCACACTCTACATTGCACAATACTGGGGACTAGTATAAAGCACATCTAAGGATGTCTGACACTGATGGGTGTATTGCCTCCGAAAACAGTAAATAAAATAATTAATGGCCATGTTAAATTATAACTCAGCCAGTCCTAAAAGACTAGTGAACAATTTTGTATTAAGAAGAAAACATCATCCTTCTCTAATACTGATTTTATGACTGTAAAATGAAACATGTTTCTGTTTCTAATGATTCAATAATGTTACGGTGAACCAACAGTGAAAAAAAGCTTCCTTGTTCTAACCAATGACAGTAGACATTATGAATTATATCCCACAGAAATTATACACATGCAAAAAAGCTCACAGTTTCCAAGAGTACTGGCAGCAGATACACCACCACATGGCAGAGCAGCTCTAAACACAGACCCTTTAGGCTGCACGTCATATTTTTGTCTATGAAGACATACACCTGTTAAAAATCTTAACCCCAGAAAGCAAGCCCTGACCTCCAAGCAAACAGAGCAGACTGGTCCAGATCCCACTGCTTAGGGCTAGACCCCTTGCAACAGAGGGCCTGTGTCCACAATGGCATGACTGTGGCACACTGAAGCACCAAGACCCATATTTTTGAAGAAGTCATATTCTCAGTTCAAAGGTCCCAAACTCTGCATATGCTGTGGCAGACTAGCGTTTTCATAGCTTGATGCCAGAAATGTACGCTATGTGTCCTGAAAGAGTGCCAGGCTCACTGAAAAGGAAATGGAAAGACTATGCAGCACGAAAGCTTGTAAGTAACACTGCTTATTATCTATCTTGATAATCATCTATCTTGAGAACTGTATACAAATTAACTCTCTCATGGTGTCAGCCGATTTGTGCCAAAACCAAGCCCAAAAATGACTGTAAGTAACAGCATGGATGATCAGGAGAGGATTCTAGAGCAAACCAAATGCCAATATACTTGACAAAGCAGACATACCACCTTTCTGTGTATCATCTGAATCAATTCTACCACACATCTTTTAGATGTAAGCACCATCTTTCATCTTACACAGATGGCTGTAGGTATACATGCGATTTTAAGATAAATCTTTAGGACAAATCATTAATTGCAAAGAATTAAAGAGTCAGTACTTACCAATAACACTTGACTGAGCCACACACAAAGTAATAACTAAGAACAGTAATGCTATGATGATAGCCCTTTCCATTAGAAGAAACCATGATCCTAGAGAACAAGCAAAGAAAAATGGTAGGAAGAAAACAAGAACTGAGGTTATTAGCTTTACATTTATTGCTCCTCTTCAGCTATGCTCCACATTGCTCAATACTGTACGTAATAGTTAGCAATTAGAGTTAAAATAGGCTAAGCAAGCTACGAATTCTACCTAAGTATTTTTCATTCTGATCTTGTGAGATAATCTATTTATTCTTCTTATTTACTTTTTTCCAGTACTTCTAGCTACCCTAACACTTTCCAGACTGGAGGACTTAACCTCCTCTAGAGCAGAAGATTATGTTTATGCTATTGTCTAGCAATACAAGCTAGTTAGATTGTGGTACTACAAACAACACAGTAGATCAGAAAAACAGTATATTTAGGCTAAGCAGGGAAGATATGAAAATTGATACTGAATGAAAAAAAAAAGATATTGATGCTTCCCCAGCTATTCTATTCTATCCCCAACTGCTGTAATGCCTGAGGAAATCCAGATGTGCGATAAGGAATACAGGAGCTAACCTTAATGAGAAAGAAACATTGCTTCGTTCGTTTTAGAAATCACACATTTCTAGATGTGTGATTTTAGGTCTTCCCACCATCATCCATTTAGCCTTTTTCCCCCTGCATCTTGGATGCCTTAGGCTGTTCAGTCACTCCTGCTGTAAGAGCATGTAAGCCACCTTCCAACATAAAATATCTCCACTGAACTACAAAATGCACCTGATTCTTGCATCTCTGCTCATAACTTCATTTAGACTCACTCAGTGGAATCCAAAGTCTTCATTTTTTACATTATACCTGCCACTGTTCCTCTGCCTGAACATTTGCTTCTAGAAATTTCTATTCATCATGAAGATGCATAAACCCTGCACTTACTCTCCATATTTAAAAGCTCTATATGCAGTTCCAGAAACATGGAATTCAGTAGCAACACCTCACAACTTTCAATGCCAAGTAAATACCCTTAAGACAGTTTTGAATTCACAAATTCCCCATCTTCTCCCTCTCCTCCTCCCGCAAGGGGTCACAGAAGATACTGTGGTTACAACATACATACAAGGCAATCACAAAATATACTAAAGGCAGATAAATGGAGGAATATCTGCCAACTTCCTTATTGCCAAAACAAGCCTAATTGAATGCATTGTTTAAAGGAAGCCCTTTTGCTTCTAACTTCAATGCACAGTTGCCATTCTGTATACAAGCCAAATCTTACAGGCAAATCCCAGCAGTGTTGTTTGATGCCATTGAGAATTACTAATGAGTTAGAAAGTATCTGCAAGCAGAAACTTAAGCAGCTTCACGTCCTCTGTAGCATTTCCAGATGACAGTACCAGGTATTACAAATAGCAAGAAGCTGTGAAGCCTGGTATGTGCTAGGACTTCAGCATGCAATATGGAACCACATATGGCCCAGTCTCAGAGTCTAAAAGCAGTTATGGTATGGGAATGCTTGCAATGCTGCTGGGTACATGCAACACGCAAATAAGAGAAACAGCTGAACACACATTTCTGGCAATACATTTCCCTTACTCTGGTGTTTTACAGCAGTAAACTCCTAGGAAAAGTATTACTTTGAGAGCCAATACAATGAAGTCAGTTCCAAACTATCAAGATAGACTTCCAGACATAAAGAAAAAAGCAGGAGAAGGTAGAAGAAGGAAAAGAGGAAGAGAAGGGGGGAAAGAGGAAAAGAAAAAAAACAGGGAAGAGAAAATGAGGAAAACACAAGAAAAAAAAGGAAATTTTATTGTCATTCTCCAGCGAAGATAACTGATCAGGAAAGAGCGTTTCCAAAGACAAGGGCACTGGCACAGGTCATGTTCCTCACTCTGCTATCCACTACCTAGGTGAAGCCAGGAATTCTGTAAAGTGAGATGGAGAATGGTTGGCTCTTGAAAGACCATCTTTGTGAAAAAAGCGACTGGAAGATAGTAGTGGCAGCATGAATTTGGTGCTCAGGAATGACAGAGGGAAGACTGGTACAGGATTTCCATTCCTCACTAAACTTTTTCAAAACTCACTTGCTACACGTTAGTCTCTTAGCTTATCAGCTCAAGAGTCTCTCTAGAGCAATGAGAACAAAACCCAAAAAATTATGCAGAAGAATTTAAAGAGAGAACAAGCGACTGTTTTACTTCCAGCTAAACCTTCAAACATCAGATTAAGTTTTACATTTCCTAACATACACTTTCAAGCTTAATGTGACCCTGCAACTATTAAATTCACCAACCACATATCTCCTTTGATGTTGGGGTATTTTCCTCGCCGCAACTGACAACTAGAAAACGAAATTAGAAAAAAATACATGAGTTTCCTGCTTTGTAGTCTTTATACAGCTTTCAAAATTCTAAACACAAAGTAAAAATAAAACAATAAAGCTTGCAAATGGAACCTGATCCTACTACATCCTCAAGTACTGTTTCCTCTTCTAGAGCTTAAAACTGAATGGCAAAACCAGTCCAATACGGTTGAGTAATGAAGAACTTTAAGAGAAGGGAGGAAACTGCCTATACCTCTTCCCCTGTTTCACAGTGTTCTAAGAACTGAATGATTTTGTAGCATCCTCACTCTTTCAGGGTCTGTGCTCCTCCCAAACCATCTCAGGATCACGTTTGTTTTGCAGCATACATGGTTAAGACTCAACTGTGAATTACACAGATGTCTGCAGCAGGACAGAAGTAACATCTCTTTGAGCTTCAAAAATATTATAACAAAAGCAAAAACTAATAGCAAGAACATCCTAGGACAATTCTACAGTGCTCGTGTAAGAATCCATGTGCTATGCATTCAGTGCTTCTGAGCAGCTTTCCAGAATCAAGAGGCAAGGCTCCTGTGCAGAACAGATAAACACCACAGATCCATGTTGAGTGAAACTGTCACTTCTGCAGAACACTAGGCAGACTGAACATGCACAGCAGATCCCATTATTCAATAGCTGGGGAGCCAGAGCACATGGGCTGTGTCTGACAAGGTAAAACTGCTCACTGAATGAGAAATGTATCACTTAGTCACCATTACTTTACACATCGCCTTCTGAAGACGACATTTAATGCTAGACAACCATAACAAGTTACCATCTAGTAGTAGCAACCTCACTAGAAAACTGCCTGTCTTCAGATCAAGTTTTAGAGTTCTTACACAGAATTCCTATCAGTTCTGCTTGTATTTTTTCCAGCATCACTGAAGATTCCAAGAAGCAATTCTTCAAAGAAAAGACCTCTGCAGCCACTGTGATGGTCATATTCACGCCAGTGTTATATTAAGAATACGTTTCAGTATGTAAATGATCTTTACGTGTTATTACAGAATGGAAAAATGTGTTCAGATCTTTCCCCACAGAAGCACTCCTCTATATCCTAACACAAAATAACTCATGTTAGCGTTCAAGTTAGAAGGCTTGGGTGGTACTTTTTTTCTATTTTCTATTTCAAGTAATACATTGACATATTCATCATTTTTCTCTTTCCTGTAAGATTTTGCTTATTTTCTGTACCAACAGGTTCTAAAACAATAGCAGGCAACTCACCTGAGTGGTTTCTAAGTTCAATTCTTGTTTCTCCTTCTCTGCTCAGTTCTAGTACTTCACAGCTGTAATTTCCAACAGCTGCTTCTGCACCATTAAGCACTAGAGAGGCAACACCTTTGGGTAAATCTGCCCGAGATAGTAAGTCGGCTGATTGAAACTCTGGATCTCTGAAAACCTCCTGTTTTTTTCCATCAAAAGAAAAAATTATTTTTCTTTGTTTTTTCCACGTCACAAACATGACATTTGCATTGTTCTCCTTCAGATTAGTCACATAGCAAGGTAAAATGACAGTTTTATTACAGTCAGTTCTTTCAACAACATCTGTCCCACTAAGTATCAACTGGGCAGAACCTAAAAAGAAACATGAAAATTGACACATTCAGAATTATTTCTTAATATACAATAGAAGAAAGAAAAAATAATTGCAACACATGACTTGGGAAAACAAAACAACCTCTCCAATAAAACCACACAGAGAGAGCCATGTTTAAGGAAGTAACAGAAGGAAGAAAAAACGCGTTATTATTAATTATATAATTACTCTAATTTTGCCACAGCCTCCCTACACAGACTTAGCCATTCTCACATCTATTTAATGTATAGATACCATAGACTACCATAAATTTTTAAAAAGAAAGAAAATAATAATAAAACTTTGGGTTGCCACTTACTCGGACACTTTCCCTAGAATGCCATAGGCAGAAATACTGCATTAAGGCCTGGTTTCTGCAAAGCATACACATAACGTTAACCACAGGTTGTCCCATTGATGTTCAAATCTTTGCTGATCTCAGGGGTATCTAAAAATGGAGGTCCAGGCATCAGCTCCACACAAGCATCTTTTACAGTTCTTCAAGGAAAAAATTCTACTTATACACTTCTGAGAGAAGGCTGGCAGGGCAGCTCAGTCAACAGAGGTTTGTCATTTGTTCCTTCTTATCTCTGAAGGTGGAGCCAAATGCCCATAGGTTTAGATCATTCCTTGCAAATTCTCTCTTTTCCTTTCTGATGGAGGAGGTGCACACACAATACCATATATTAAATAAGATCATCACTTACTTAGTATTTGAGCACATAGACAATAGAATTGAAAATGGAGAATTTGTAACAATAAGCGACCTTTATTATACATCACTGTAAGCAATACTAATAACACCATTCAAATGCAGGTAATGAAAAATCACCACAACTAATTTATCAGTGCTGGTTTTTACCCTTTCTTTCCCACACTGCAGCACAGTTCTAAACCAGCAGTACTGCCTGACCACTGCTCAAGAAAGATCTCATCGTATGCCAAGATTTTACTGGAAATGAAGATCCTTTCATCTCTTCTTGAGAATACCAAAAATGATAACAACGGTATTTAAATTGCACCAGGAACCAGAAGAGAGAGATTAATTAAACTAGCTTAACTGCAAAATATGACATCTTGGAATCTTTTCCATATTTTTCCTCACTTGTGTGAAATCATAACTTAGTTTAATAGCTGTCCTAACAGTCATCGGTCCCCAAAGTCACGTTGGCATTAAGCATTCAAAACACCTGACTATATCCACTTAGGTGGGAAAAGATATGTACTGTAAAACAAAACCACAATCCCTAATACAGACTTACAAACTGGAGTATCTCCAGTGACTTTAGAGGAACTACTTGTACTCACAGGTATAAACCAGCTCAGAAGCGTGGCAGGTATTTTTTGACTAAATGCAATTATGGGAAAGGGGAAAAAAAAATAAAACCAGTACAAGTTGTGTCACTGTTTGCAGTAGCCAAAGAGTCTCAGATCAGATTTTAAAAGCACTGATCTTTAAACATTGCTTTAATATTCTCACACGGGTCACTGGATTACTACTGAATATCAAAAGCTTATAATAAACTGCCTCTAGGTATATTATGCATGACAGCACTTTTACAATGAAAAAGGAATTATTCTCTGGTTTCCTCATTGTGTTGTATTGTTTTAACTGTACCTTGAAAATATAAAAGTAATGAAAGCAGAACAAAGGGAAACTGTAGCCAAACCTCAAATTATGCCCTAATAAAAACCGTATGCGCAAAATTAAAAGCTGTAGTGCTTCGATGGTCCTTGGGGATGGGGGGAAATCATATCTGCTTTATTTTAATACTATTTCACAGTAAAAGGCTTATGAGTGTGGGGTTGTTAGGTTCTGTGTTTGGTTTGGGGGTTTTTTTCTGCCCTAGAGCTAGCATGTTTGCAGTTCATAGAGGAATTCATTCACTGCTGGCTTCATTTCACTGGAAAAGGTGATTTTCAACTAAAGGAAGCAACTACACTTCCAAATATTTACCAAAGCAAATAAAAACCCAGCCATCTTGAAGGAATTAAAACCTATCTACCACCATTTACTCCCTAGTATTAGCACAGAACGGCAGGGGGCTGTAAATTACTGATTCCACCAGTTTGCTGTTGTGTAGTCTATGAGAGCTGGCATATTTTGCCTGAAGCCAATTAAGAAGCACTCATATAAACTGCTCCACCAGCAGAGTGCTGGGGAAATAACGAGCAGGCTGCAGACAGGCACCAACAGAAGCAGCACACACATGTTAGTCCTCTGCATATATGACTGCTTTAGTAGAAGAGGTTGCATAGCTGTTATCCCCCTAAAGGGGATCTGACAGCTTACTATAGACTGTATTTTCACTACCAGCTTCAGACATTTTTTCTCATGGTATGAGCAAGTCACGAGAAGGACCCTTTGGCAATAGTTCCCAAATCCTGCAGGAAGTGGACTACAAGGTGGGCTCCTAGCCTCAAGCTTTCGCATGGATTAGCTATCAGCTTTGTCACATTCAGGTAACCATTTTAGAGCTTTATACTAAGCAGTTTGGAAGAGGCTCCTTCTGAAGAATATTCAGTTGTGAAGCTGCCACAGAAAGGTTGTTTCAAACGATACCCATAGTGCAAATTTGGGGATACTGCACATTATGCGAAGATTGGCTAAGCCAAGCCTGACGGACCACAAAACATACAAGGGCACTCAACATTTAAGCCAGTCTACTGCTAATTCAGGAACTCAGACATGAATTTGAATACTACCTTTAAACACAGAGGTCCAGATGTGCTCCTTACTGACAGAACAATCCCGCATTTGCACCTCTATGAAAATGTTATGGTTTGGGGTTTTTTTTTTTTAAATCTCCCTCCTCCCACCGAGTTTCTTCTTAAGGCAAATAAGTTAGATTATGAGATGTCATTTAAACATCAGTGGCACCCAAACTTTTAAGATCTAGTAATGCCGTCAACCCCAGAAACCGTACAGCAGACAATCAGCTTGATCATCGTTATTTCTTCACGAAAGCACACTGCGCTAAACTGCCCTAACGCTACTAGGCACAAGACGACGAGGAGCTCTGCGCTGGTTCCTCGTCTCCCCCGCAACTTCTGCAAGAAGCAACGCATTCCCGAAACCGGGAGGACGAGGGAAGCGGCAAGGGCTGGATGAAGCCCTCCCGTACCCCGAAGATAGGAAGCTACAGCTAAGCCGCCCGCAGCCGCACA